ATGCATTCCAAACTCAACTGAATTCCCATGTCAACTGTAACATATATATATGAAAATATAGAAATATATTTTAGATCACTGTTTATACATTGAAACAAAATTTAAAACTTAAACAAAGTTGTATGTTTTGAAAGCATAGCTGTCATTCAAAATTTATGAATATATGGTAACAGTTTACAGTACTAATACTCTACTATATATACTACGATATTTGAATGAATTCGTTGTTTCAAGCGCGAATAAAGAACTATTAATGTTTGTTCTTCATATGATCAACACATCATTGATATCATGTTAGAGAATGTCATGTTTTCGTGAACTGACTTTAATCATATTTGATTGATCATGCGAAATACTTTACATGGTACATTTGAAATGCGATGTAGAATCAATCAACATAAGCTGCTCCCACACCTTTATACCTATTAAGAGAGCGGTCTAAAATATATTTCTACTTTTTCATATATGTTTCATGCAGCAGAGCTTATCATATCTATAGATAAAGAATAGTATGAACTAAGTATAGGTAAGAATACTAATGCAACAGCGTTTCTTGTTATTTTTAAATAAAATCAATTCGAAAGCTTTTTGAAAGCGTCAGGTATAATTCAATTATCTTAATATCAATTGATTTATTTCTCTTAGAAGAAAAATACTTCTCAACAAAATATCGATCAGTATTTTCCTACATTAAAGAGTAACAAAAAAAAATCAGATTTCATACAGATATACATATTAGTGTTCAACTTTAGATCCACCTAGTTTAGTCTAGAATCTCATATTGGACGCGTCCAGTCTAAGATTTGTCTGAAAATTTTCGGTGAATCTTAGATTGACCTAAGACAATGACGGATTAAAAAGTTAATACGACCAACCTTGAAAGAAACATGTGGATGTAATTGAATTGCTGTTTATGTTAAAAGAAACTCTGAAAAAAGTAAAAAAAGTAAATTTGTATCTCGATCGTAGATGTGAAGCAAAGAGAACAGCTACATCCACATCCGCTCTCTTCGTTGACTTTTTTTTAATGATGTACTTATGATTAGATATTGTATTAGTTGATTCAAGATTGTCCATACTAACCTTTGAATCCATCTTTGCCCTAAGCTAAGATGAAATTCACCTGAAATTTTCGGACGAAGCTTAGATTGGACACTAACATATATATGATGAATTAGAATAGTCTATCATTCATTTGTAATTTAAAATATAAAATTAGATTTATGATTTATTTGAAAACTAAAGTCAAAATACAAGATTACAATACACACACACACAATAATAAATTAAAGATAAATATATAATGAAGAAATTAAAATTAAGTTTTATAGAAAATTATTTACGAGCAATAGTATTAACTGCTTTTTCTTTCATACGAGAAAAATGAATACGACCTGTAGTAAAAGCAGTTAAAAATAAAGTCAACATAGTAAATAGATGACCTGTTTGATACAAATTAGCTGAATAATTATTATACAATAAATAACGTGAACCTTCAGCCATACCAGCAAGCATAAATAAACAAGCAAAAAATAATGATATAGATGGAATTAGATTAATCCATGTTGATAATGGAATAATTGCCATAATTAATGTCATTATTGTACCAAAACCGAGAAAGAGAATACCAACAATACATAAACCAGCTGCATTTTGTATACGTACATAATAATCAGTCATCCATGAATATGATGATGAATATCTTGGATAACCAATAAGATTACCCGTACGAGTTGTGCAATTATTGTATGAACCATTGGTAAAATGGCAAGTGAAGAAAAAATTTGCCGTACCTGATAAAGAATATGATGCAACACCTGTATTTGTATAAGATGATTCCCAATTTGGTGTACTAATACCAACACAAACAAATACTAAAGCTATTACTCCAAAAATAACTGCAATAAAAGCTATTTTTCGACTTAGATTATCTATTTTATCGATTGGCATATTGTATCTTCAAAGAGAAAACATAATTCTTCTATTAAAATATATAATTTTTTTTTTAAAGTCTACTTCTCTATTTATTAATAATACTAATTCAATATTATACTCTATATATCTAAGTGTTGCTTATAAAAAAAAATGCACAGATTGTTTTAATAATTCTTCGAATGCTCAATAATTATTTTTACAAATGTCTTTGATAACCTTAATAAAAATAGCTTTTACATGACGTTCATTTGTCGACATTCGTACTGAATGAGTCTGTTCAAATGTTTCAAATCAAAAAATAATAGAAAAAGAAAATGATTTTTATTATCTTATATCATTTGATAGAATGCAGATATTCATTAATATAATTTCTTACATAGTAAAAGAACAAAAACCATAGCATAGAACAATTGTTACATTTAACAGACGAATGAATGATTGATCAATTCATACATTAAAAAAATTAAAATAAAATGGCATTACTTTAAAATTAAATGTAATAAATGTGAATAATCAACATTAACAAAAGTTCATATCTTTGCCTTTTTATCATATTATGTCATTATCTCCGTAGTTATTCATAAATGGTTTTTCGTAATGTTTCTACTTCGTTAGTTGCATGAGCGTATTATAGCTGTTTATTTGAATTCAATTTCATTTGAATATTATAAATAACAAAGATCGTTTAGACAGAAAATGTTGTGTATATTCCAAAACTGTCAATAGATCATTTTTTTCTAACCTGCAGGCCAAAATAGGCCGATTGATGTTTTTTTTTTTTTTTTTCAAATAGATTTGATTGTATAAATTAGTGTTGATGTATTATTCCAGTTTCAGTTGTTCATTTTATTTATTTCGATAAAAATAAGTTAATAACAAGTTCTTACATGACATAGCAAAAAGACAATCATAATAAATATTGTTCATACAACAAAGCTCTGCAGAATTGGAGAGTATAGATAATAGACAAGGACATTAACATTTAGCAACCAAGTTGTGTAACAGATCGAATAGAAAATTTCTTATCAAGTTGTTTTGAATCTAAAGAAGTTCTTCTATCAGTCGATGTAAATTCTACAACACTAAATTGACGTTCTAGTCAAGTATTTGTTACTGCAATCGAATGAATTTGTTAAAATACTCTTGAATAATGAAGTGATGCATCAATATTTAATTTTCAAAACTTAAGAACTAGAGTTCAATTAAAAGTTAACAAATACAAAGTAGTAGGAATACACCAGAGCTGTTAACCTAATCTGATCTGTCTATATGTTATTCAGCCTGGCTAACAGACTAGGCCAAGTTAAAGTTGTTGATCTAGCTTAAGATTGTCGTATTAATGCTAAACTGTTAACATTAAATTAACATTATTTTTAACTCTGCTACATAGATTACTAATGACTAGATTTCGAACACTTTAACCTGAGACGTTCTCCAGGCTGAACAATTTTGTCCTGCTTTGGGAATGGCACTTCTGGGTATCAAAAGAACCTTTATTCTGTTATCGAAAGCTTTTGAAGATGGACTGTCAAAGGTATAATCTCGCAGATCGTATATGTATTATAATTAAAAATAATCCTAATCTAATATTAATAGCTTAATATTAATTAATTCTAATGCAAACAATATCAAAGTCTGAAAGTTAATTTTAATACTAATGCTAATCTAACCTTTCTAGTCTAACTAATCTCTCGTATGTTATCATTGTTCGAAAATAGAACGATCATGGAATCTAAATAGTAAAAGTTTAAAAGAAAATTGATATTA